CTTTTAAAAGAGAGAAACATCGGGCAGAAGCAGGCTCTGGAATGGGGTGGCCATCTGCCACGGCCAGCTGGTGATGAGATTAAAATTAAATTTAGAAATTAAATTTAGATGCCCAATTTAAATAAATATTTTAAGCCAATTTAAGAGTTTTGTCACATAATCGCATGCACGTTTCAATTACATTTTAGCGTAGGCATGAGAAAGCCCTAAAGATGACATTTTGGCTCTTCAACTTGGCATGTTTTTGGAAGGTTTTGACGATTACTTCGTCAATCACTGAGTTGCATGACCTCATTAAGAGTACTGGAGAAGGCAACCTTTCATGGAGTTCATTGTATACTGTCAGGCTGCGTTGTTAAATGTTAGCTGAGGACATTTTGTAGTTTTTGGACAAAATTTTGTTCCAGATCTTATGGGAAACCCTCTGCATAATAAACTCAGATGTATCTGGATGCCATGTCGCCGTCTCATTTCCTTCAGCCCTAGTGTGCATTACCAGATCTTTAATGAAAATTTCCACAACTTCCTTGTACTCTTCCCTGTTTTCAGAGACACTGAGTAGTCTTTTTGGTAAAGCCAACAGGTGTTTGGTGAAGGTTGGGACAGTAATGTTATCAAGCTGTTCCCTCAGATTAAAAATCAAACGTTTTTCCTTGCAGTTATGTGTTTTGCAAAGATCCTTGAGAATGGCCTTGTCTAGATTTTTCAGCCATTTTGGGAAAGACTGACTGTCCTTCTCCTGATTTAGGATCAGGATTTCACCGTCTCTCTGCTGAAGCTGCTCTTTCAGACAGTTCATCTCAAAGTCAACGTTTCTGGTCTTTTCCTGATCTGAACAAGTCTGATCCCCCTTTTCTTTAATGGCACTGCTCATTTCCACTTTGCGTGACACTGATTCATCAGTGGGTTCTACAGCTTGGATCTCACATTGGTCCAGTGAAATTTGAGCCATCAGCTGTTTGATTTGCTGCCTGGCTTTCTCTGCATCCTCTTTTAAAAGTTGATTTTCAGACAGAGTGTTTAGGAAAGCTTTCCTAACCTGAATAAGGTCATCAAGTGTACTTTTTGGCAGAGTGCACACAAATTGTGGTATCTTGTGTTTCTGGTTGCTCATTTTTGACATTTCAAACAAA